GCCCTAGAGATGCGGGGCCCCCCCCCCCCCTTTTTTTTATTGAGTGGAAAGTACAAACATAATTATTGAGACAGCAGACATGAAGACAGTCCACATTTTCTTTTTTCTTTTTTTTTACCTTTACAGCAAAGAAAACAACAGAGGAACCCCCCCCCCATAAAAAAAAGAAAAGGGGAAAAAAAAGTCTGGAGGAGGAAACATGATGATTCAAAACTTTAAAACAAATTCAAAAAAATTCAATCAGCGGGTAAAGTTTGAAGTGAGTGAAAATATGTTATAAAATTGATCATCGAAATATATAAATATTATATCATTTATCATGAAAAGAACCATAACTGGCATACCGAGACCATCTTATCTTTTCCAGCTTCAAAAAGTACATGGTATCCACAAGCCACTGTGAGATATTTTTCCAAAGAGATGCAGTTGTTTAAAATTAGCCAGGGCTTGGGGGGAATATGCACCACTTACTATATATGGAGGCAGAACATGCCCTTTTAGTCAATTACTTTTGATGTATAATAGATCTAGCTATTAGTGCCTCTGCAAACACTGTCAGATATGTGCTTTTAATGAAAAAGTATTTCCGAAAGCATAGAATACCCCCAATACACACATTAAAATCCACCATATGGCAGGCAGTTGTGGATTTAGGAGCCTAATCTAACACGTGAAGCAGGTTTATTTGCTAAAACAAAATGAACAAACAAACAAAAGCGTTTTAGACTAACAAACTGTAAGATAACTCTATAATGTGAGTTCTTGTCAGTCTGAGTAAATGATTCTTGCAGAACATTTATTATGGCATGACATTTATATTTATTGTTACATATGTAGTTGATTTGATAGGTAACAGAGTTTAGACTGAAATTTTTATTTCGGTTTATTCATCATTTGAATTATTTGACAAATGTCATAGACATACTGTGTTTTATGATGTGAAAGAAAAAAGGGTGGAAAGGGCATCTAAAAAATTCAGTTCCAAAGGGCAAATTGTGTTAAAATTGCAGAAAAAACAGCACATATTCTTAAAGTGACAAATGAAGTTTCTCCTTACTTAGGCATAGCTAGTTAGGTATTAAGGTTAGACATCATATAACTATATAGTGAACAAAACTAATGTTTCAGACTAACAAACTATAAAGTAAGTCTATAATGTGAGCTCTTTCTGAGTAAAGGATTGTTTATATATTCGTGCATTGGTTCGCATTAAACCCGTGGCACAGCAAAACAAACAGCAATCAATGTATACAGAAACGTTGCGAGAAGGTTTGAGTCGTGTGCTCTTGTCCGCCCTCTTCTGGAGAGATATAGATATGGCCGGGATTTCTGGCATTTCTTTTTTTGACTGGGTTTTTGGTAAATGCCTGATTAAAGTCAAGTATTCTTCACTTTTGTCCATCATCAGATTTTACTTAGGCTGTTTAAACAAAGTAAAACACTGATAACCTTTTCTTAAAAGGAATACTAAAGGAAAACATCACTGAATATTTGACTAAACATAAAAATAAGGCTGAGAAGTTGTGACAAAGGATATAGCTCAGTAGCCTAACTAGTTTAGAGTCGAAAGATGAATTACACAAGCATGTGTTTCTCTAGCTCTATTTCGTTTTCAAATAGCTAGTTCAAAACATTCCGATTTGGGTCAATTATAATAAAGATACAATTTAGATTTAATATGGCAGATTCAAATAGGCCTACTGTGGCATCCTCTGTGATTGGGGTTGTCACAAAAGGTCAACATGTGTTCAGTGAACTGTTTATTAATTGTAGCTTATGTGTCTGTACTCTGTACTGAAATTTAATGAATTTCATCCACATGCTGTCCTACATTTAGTTTACATATACAGCCCCAAGATGGCGCCAGTTGATTATCTGCGGTTTAAACGGAAACGTGTATGTGATTATTACTTTGAACACTAGGTGTCGCTATATTACCTATTATGTTTGAAGGCGTCCTTCAGGGCACTTCACATCACTCAACACCCAAATCTTAAACCTTAAGTGTGGAGACGGTCAGCCTCTTAAAACCATAATCCCCCTTTCAGAGTCCAGATGAGATGAATACTAGTGCTTATCAAAGTTTGACCACAGGCCACTTTTGCGCTAAACTCTAATTCTGTGGGCAAAGGTCTTTTTTGATTGAGACTACAGACACTTATAGGACAGATGTGCTATTTAAATAAAGTGACTCACACTTAGACATTGTTGTGTAGGCCTGTAACAGATCATATGCTAAACACAAAAAAGTCCAAGATGACTCAGTCTGGAAAGATTTTTGGCAGATGCACTGTACTTTCACTTTTTAACCAGTATTTATGCTTACTTGTTTTTACTTACACATAGCCTTTCATAAAGTTTCTCTTTAGATTTTTTTTTAATCAAATGTCTTGAAAGTGACTGTGTTGGGAATTATGTTTCATATCAATAATATATTAATCACACAAACAGCTATGGGGGAGATGGAGTGAAGGGAATCACTTTTTCCCTTATTTTTTAAACAGAAAGCACATTATATTTTCAGTATATATCCATAAGACAGATTTGACGATTTAAAGGTGGCAAAAAGTCTGCATCGAGTTCTTTAAGAAATGATACTGAACCACATATTTCTCACTTTCATGTATGATTTATTTTCTTGTGTAAAAAGAGTAAGTACAAAGCAAAAAAACAACAATAACACTCTTAAAGGAGTTTATGAAACTCGTTGATCTGACAGTCTGTAGAAATAGACAATCCCCACAAACATATACAATCCACTCTATATTATAGAGTTCAAATTCTAATCCACGTCTGTATTCCCACTGCCCAAGGCCCTTCCCACCCTATAACACAAAAGCTCCCCTCAAGCACAATATGTACATCATCCCAGTGATCGAGAAGCTCACTGAGACCAAACTGCAGCCATGCTGAAATGTGGAAATGTTTTCAAGAAAAAAAAGGGAGGGGGGGGGGGGTATTCTCCAAGAATGGCTGGGAAGGAAGGGTGTGTGAAGAGATATTAGTTAGTCCAAATAGTCAGGAATGTAGCCAGTACAAAATATACAATGCTTGATTGTTGCCACAAAAAACAGGAATGATTAAGGAAAAAAATCGGAGGGTTTTTCTTTTTTGTGATCTTAAAAAACTCCTCGGCTTTGGTTTGTTCAAGTGTCCAGTGACCAAAGAATAGACAGCTCGAGAGGGGTGCAGATTGCTTTCCCACACTCTGAATAGAGCCTCACTCCTTCACCCGGCTCACCCCTTCACTCTCTTTTCTTCCATAAGTGGAGGAGAAAAGTTTTTATCCCGCACCTGCAGCATAGATGAGAGGGAGAAAAGTTAACTCAGAGCACACTTACACACACACACACACACACACACACACACACACACACACACACACACACACTGTGGATTCAGACGGACTGCAGACAGTCTGGCGCCAAATGGAAAACTTTCATTTGCTAGAGCTGATAGGGAATCCAAGCTTGTTTGCTGATTGGCACGATGACCAAAAAATTAGGAAACTGGACAGACTTTAATACGTGATCTTGTCCTGTATAACATTTAGCAAAAACGTGAGATTTAACCCATGCATAATGACTAATCAATTAGTAGCTGGCTCTAACTTCGTACTTTCTTTTTTAAATAAAGGCTCCATTTAAAACAAATGATTTTCAGATTTTTAGGTTCCACAAAGAATGTTTTATTCTTGTTTTTTGAAAAACCATCTGCTTTAAAGAATTCAGAACTAAAATGCTTGTCTGAAGAACCTATAATGAAACAAAGACCATGTTCTCCAAAGAATCATATAGTTGTTCTTGATGTTTCTAGGTTCTTCAGATCAGGAATGGAGTGTAGATTAGTACCTAAAAATATTTGACTAATCTGCCTGTAGAATTATTTACAATAAAAAAACAAGCGTACCATTGAACGTTGCCATTCCTCTGTACTAATGGCACATAGCTTCATCCTCTTTGGAGAAATTAAGGGTCATCTCTGAGTTCTACAGCGGGAAAAGACATGAAAAGTTTGAATTTCTTCAAAAGAACTTTATAATGTATATTAATATAAGGTAAATAATAATAATTAAGCGACAAAAAATGATCGTGCGCTCACCTTCATTGACATGAACACGTCAGGCGTGTTTTGTGTGTCCGTTTCGTTTTCCAGTGCAATCTGTAAATCGAAGATGTAATCTATTACATGCTGAAGAATCTCCATTTGGCTCACGGATTTGTTCTGAGGGATGCTGGGCACCAGCTCTTTGAGTTTTGAGTAACAGTCATTCATATCGGACAGCTCCTCAATGGGACTCTTGCAGCGGCTGATGGCGAGACTCTGCTCTGAGATGCAGCACACCGCTTCATAGCAGCTTCTGACAGAGCGAACGGGACTGATCGCCTTCATTCTGGATCTGACTTGCTAGTAGAATCCAACTGTAGAGATGTCTGAAGAAGTCTGGAATCTGAGATGAACTAGCTCTCCAGCTTGATATCCAATGTTTAACTCTCCTCACGTCTCGTGCTCATTGAACGATGGCAGCACAAGCAGGCAGGCGACCGCTTTTCAAGCCTAGCTTCGTGTAGCACCGCCCCCTCCAGAAATAAACAAACCCTCATGTGCTGCTCAGCCAATAGTAAAAGGCTATTAATCGCACAGGCCCCGCCCTATGCAAATAGCTAACTCGTCATTGGTAGCGTTGAGTTGTTAGACAGAATGATGGAATGAGGAAGAGCTGTCAGAATACCAGAGAGAGACAGGCTATATATATATATATATATATATATATATATATATATATATATATATATACACTCTGGGGTTTTTGTGTAAATATGGGGTGGAGGAGGAAACATGATGATTCAAAACTTTAAAACAAATTCAAAAAAATTCAATCAGCGGGTAAAGTTTGAAGTGAGTGAAAATATGTTATAAAATTGATCATCGAAATATATAAATATTATATCATTTATCATGAAAAGAACCATAACTGGCATACCGAGACCATCTTATCTTTTCCAGCTTCAAAAAGTACATGGTATCCACAAGCCACTGTGAGATATTTTTCCAAAGAGATGCAGTTGTTTAAAATTAGCCAGGGCTTGGGGGGAATATGCACCACTTACTATATATGGAGGCAGAACATGCCCTTTTAGTCAATTACTTTTGATGTATAATAGATCTAGCTATTAGTGCCTCTGCAAACACTGTCAGATATGTGCTTTTAATGAAAAAGTATTTCCGAAAGCATAGAATACCCCCAATACACACATTAAAATCCACCATATGGCAGGCAGTTGTGGATTTAGGAGCCTAATCTAACACGTGAAGCAGGTTTATTTGCTAAAACAAAATGAACAAACAAACAAAAGCGTTTTAGACTAACAAACTGTAAGATAACTCTATAATGTGAGTTCTTGTCAGTCTGAGTAAATGATTCTTGCAGAACATTTATTATGGCATGACATTTATATTTATTGTTACATATGTAGTTGATTTGATAGGTAACAGAGTTTAGACTGAAATTTTTATTTCGGTTTATTCATCATTTGAATTATTTGACAAATGTCATAGACATACTGTGTTTTATGATGTGAAAGAAAAAAGGGTGGAAAGGGCATCTAAAAAATTCAGTTCCAAAGGGCAAATTGTGTTAAAATTGCAGAAAAAACAGCACATATTCTTAAAGTGACAAATGAAGTTTCTCCTTACTTAGGCATAGCTAGTTAGGTATTAAGGTTAGACATCATATAACTATATAGTGAACAAAACTAATGTTTCAGACTAACAAACTATAAAGTAAGTCTATAATGTGAGCTCTTTCTGAGTAAAGGATTGTTTATATATTCGTGCATTGGTTCGCATTAAACCCGTGGCACAGCAAAACAAACAGCAATCAATGTATACAGAAACGTTGCGAGAAGGTTTGAGTCGTGTGCTCTTGTCCGCCCTCTTCTGGAGAGATATAGATATGGCCGGGATTTCTGGCATTTCTTTTTTTGACTGGGTTTTTGGTAAATGCCTGATTAAAGTCAAGTATTCTTCACTTTTGTCCATCATCAGATTTTACTTAGGCTGTTTAAACAAAGTAAAACACTGATAACCTTTTCTTAAAAGGAATACTAAAGGAAAACATCACTGAATATTTGACTAAACATAAAAATAAGGCTGAGAAGTTGTGACAAAGGATATAGCTCAGTAGCCTAACTAGTTTAGAGTCGAAAGATGAATTACACAAGCATGTGTTTCTCTAGCTCTATTTCGTTTTCAAATAGCTAGTTCAAAACATTCCGATTTGGGTCAATTATAATAAAGATACCATTTAGATTTAATATGGCAGATTCAAATAGGCCTACTGTGGCATCCTCTGTGATTGGGGTTGTCAAACATGTGTTCAGTGAACTGTTTATTAATTGTAGCTTATGTGTCTGTACTCTGTACTGAAATTTAATGAATTTCATCCACATGCTGTCCTACATTTAGTTTACATATACAGCCCCAAGATGGCGCCAGTTGATTATCTGCGGTTTAAACGGAAACGTGTATGTGATTATTACTTTGAACACTAGGTGTCGCTATATTACCTATTATGTTTGAAGGCGTCCTTCAGGGCACTTCACATCACTCAACACCCAAATCTTAAACCTTAAGTGTGGAGACGGTCAGCCTCTTAAAACCATAATCCCTCTTTCAGAGTCCAGATGAGATGAATACTAGTGCTTATCAAAGTTTGACCACAGGCCACTTTTGCGCTAAACTCTAATTCTGTGGGCAAAGGTCTTTTTTGATTGAGACTACAGACACTTATAGGACAGATGTGCTATTTAAATAAAGTGACTCACACTTAGACATTGTTGTGTAGGCCTGTAACAGATCATATGCTAAACACAAAAAAGTCCAAGATGACTCAGTCTGGAAAGATTTTTGGCAGATGCACTGTACTTTCACTTTTTAACCAGTATTTATGCTTACTTGTTTTTACTTACACATAGCCTTTCATAAAGTTTCTCTTTAGATTTTTTTTTAATCAAATGTCTTGAAAGTGACTGTGTTGGGAATTATGTTTCATATCAATAATATATTAATCACACAAACAGCTATGGGGGAGATGGAGTGAAGGGAATCACTTTTTCCCTTATTTTTTAAACAGAAAGCACATTATATTTTCAGTATATATCCATAAGACAGATTTGACGATTTAAAGGTGGCAAAAAGTCTGCATCGAGTTCTTTAAGAAATGATACTGAACCACATATTTCTCACTTTCATGTATGATTTATTTTCTTGTGTAAAAAGAGTAAGTACAAAGCAAAAAAACAACAATAACACTCTTAAAGGAGTTTATGAAACTCGTTGATCTGACAGTCTGTAGAAATAGATCATCCCCACAAACAAATACAATCCACTCTATATTATAGAGTTCATATCCTAATCCACGTCTGTATTCCCACTGCCCAAGGCCCTTCCCACCCTATAACACAAAAGCTCCCCTCAAGCACAATATGTACATCATCCCAGTGATCGATGAAGCTCACTGAGACCAAACTGCAACCATGCTGAAATGCGAAAATGTTTTCAAGAAAAAAAAGGGTGGTGGTGGGGGGGAGGGATTTGGGGTACTCTCCAAGAATGGCTGGGAAGGAAGGGTGTGTGAAGAGATATTAGTTAGTCCAAATAGTCAGGAATGTAGCCAGTACAAAATATACAATGCTTGATTGTTGCCACAAAAAACAGGAATGATTAAGGAAAAAAATCGGAGGGTTTTTCTTTTTTGTGATCTTAAAAAACTCCTCGGCTTTGGTTTGTTCAAGTGTCCAGTGACCAAAGAATAGACAGCTCGAGAGGGGTGCAGATTGCTTTCCCACACTCTGAATAGAGCCTCACTCCTTCACCCGGCTCACCCCTTCACTCTCTTTTCTTCCATAAGTGGAGGAGAAAAGTTTTTATCCCGCACCTGCAGCATAGATGAGAGGGAGAAAAGTTAACTCAGAGCACACTTACACACACACACACACACACACACACACACACACACTGTGGATTCAGACGGACTGCAGACAGTCTGGCGCCAAAAGGAAAACTTTCATTTGCTAGAGCTGATAGGGGAATCCAAGCTTGTTTGCTGATTGGCACGATGACCAAAAAAATTTGGACACTGGACAGACTTTAATACGTAATCTTGTCCTGTACAACATTTACCAAAAACATGAGATTTAACCCATGCATAATGACTAATCAATTAGTAACTCTAACTGCTTTACTTGCTATTTAAAATAAAGATTCCATTTAAAACATTTTCCAGCTTAATATCATATAGGGTACGCTTTTTAGGTTCCACAAAGAACGTTTTATTCTTGTTTTTGTAAAAAACATCTGCTTTAAAGAACTGAAAACCAATATGTTGATCTGAAGAACCTATAATGAAACAAAGACCATGTTTAATCTCAAAAGAATCATATAATTGTTCTTGATGTTTCATTCTAGGTTCTTCAAATCAGGAATGGTTCTTGATTAGCTACAAGAGCGTTCTTTGCTGAACCTATAAGGAATGAATAACTTTTATTTGTCAAGGTTAATAAAGGAGTGTAGATTAATACCTAACAAAACTGGACTATAATAAAATAATTCAAAATAAAGAAAGAGTAACGTACCATTGAACGTTGTCATTCCTCTGTCCTAATGGCACATAGCTTCATCCTCTTTGGAGAAATTACGGCTCATCTCTGAGTTCTACAAGGAGGAAATACATATACAAAGTTTGAATTTCTTCAACTGAACTGTATATTGATTAATATAGGCTACCGCGTAGGCTAATTAATAAATTACCTTCACTGACATGAACCTGTCCGGCGTGTTTTGTGCGTCCGTCTCGTTTTCCAGTGCAATCTGTAAATCGAAGATGTAATCTATTACATGCTGAAGAATCTCCACTTGGCTCACGGACTTGTTCTGAGGGATGCTGGGCACCAGCTCTTTGAGTTTTGAGTAACAGTCATTCATGTCGGACAGCTCCTCAATGGGACTCTTGCAGCGGCTGATAGCGAGACTCTGCTCTGAGATGCAGCACACCGCTTCATAGCAGCTTCTGACAGAGCGAACAGGACTGATCGCCTTCATTCTGGATCTGACGTCTGACTTGCTAGAAGAATCCAACGGTAGAGATGTCTGGAGAAGTGAGACGAATTAGTTCTCCAGCTTGACAGATAGGCTATCCAATGTCTGACTCTCTCCACGTCTCGTGCTCATTGAACGATGGAAGCACGAGCAGGCAGGCGACCGCTTTTCAAGCGTTGCTTCGTATAGCACCGCCCTCTCCAAAAATAAACAAACCCTCATGTGCTGCTTAGCCAATAGTAAGAGGATTATAAGCGTACAGGCCCCGTCCTATGCAAAGAGATAACTCGTGATTGGAAGCGTTGAGATGTCCGTCAGACATAATGGTGGAATGTGGAAGAGCTGTCAGAATAGAGAGAGAGAGAGAGAGAGAGAGAGGGAGAGGGCGAGAGATATTTTCTGTGGTGGATTTGAGTGAAGATTTGGGGTCAGTGAACCTAAACGGAGCTGGGCCAGCTTGTGCAGTAGCCTAGATTAAATATAAACTTTGCTTAAAGTTCACACATGTTTTCCCCCTAAGATACGTTTTATTATTATTATGTATTATTTTTATTTTATGTATAGCCTAGGCTATACTGATTCTTTGGCTATGCAAACAATCCTAGTAATTTGAAATTATTTTCAGAATTCTATTTTAATTAACATTATAAACTTGTGATTTAGGCTGCGCTAACCTTATCTATTTTAAAGTGAACACTCTTGATCTGTAACATTTGTAGAGGAAAAAGCGGGAGGAAAATGCTATCATCCGCTAATAATTATTCTATCTCGGCTAAGACATGATATGGATAAATTCCATAAATCTGCTACTCCCGTGACCTGCAGACAAACTGGCGTCGGGAATTCATTCCTTTAGGAGACTATTGTCCACACATAGCCTGAATCAGATTAAATATCTAGCCTATACAGAACACATTATAAGGCCCACACACAGAAAAAAAACCAACCCTCTAAAATGTAAATAGGCTATTATACTTAATTGCTAGTTAAAATTAGAACCCTAAAATGTAAGTAAAATCAAAGTAACAACATGTAGTAACGAGTTCAATGTAGGCCTACTTTTTTCCCCTCCAAGTAATGAATCAAGCTTGAAACTTTGATACCCCTCTCGATTCTCATGCCAAGAGGGATAAATATAGATCTTTTTCAATAAAACATCTCCTAATATTCTCACGATCACAGAAATATTAATAACCAACTCAGGAACCTCTGAACAAACCACTGTGCGCGCGGTTTTCTTGCATTCTAAAAGTGTTACTCGTTATCTATAAATAGGCTAGATCATAGCTGTCTCCCATGACTCTTTTTTATATGAAGAGGAAGCTTCGCAAGCTACAATCAAACTATAGCCTGACTCTCGTTCCAGTTTTAACCCAGCGCATTTTTAGTTTACATCAAGATGTGTCCCCTCTTTTCTCACAGTGCTGTTTTTGTGAAGGAATGCGCTGGCGGGCCAGCTGTGTGTCCTGTCCCGCTCCAGCTGTGTTGATCTAACGCGCGAGTCCCAGACAGCCTGGCGCCGGGCTCCCGACGTCATCCATTCACGCGCTCCAGCGCGCACCCCATCTGCAAAAGACTAGTCTCGGCCGTGAAGCCACTCTGATTGGTCAGTACAGCTGTCAATCAAGCTATAAGAACCCGCCCAACCTCTCGCACAAGACGTAGACTTGCCCGCACAATTTATTTGCGCACACCTGGACTTACATTCAGTGAAGAGTTTTGTAAACCGTGTGTAAAGCTCTTCAGTTTGGCTAGATTAGTTAAACTAATACAAAAGCAGCTCTGTTTTCTCAGACTGCAATAGTATAATAGTTCTCAAATAAAACACATTCCTGTTTTGCTTGAATGGTAGGCTATATTTTGTCATGTTCAAACCGGTGTTAAATTGAATACACTTTAGTCAAAGAAGACACCATATTTAATTTTTTATGAATAAAAAAGAGGCTGTGAGAAACATGAGGTGAGGTTTAGTCGGTTCAATAGGATGTAGCCTAACAGGTTAGAAGCTGCACTATGACTGACTGCAAAGGTAATAACATTACAGCACTTTAAACCAACTGTCATTTTGTTTCTCATAGCATCATTATATTGGTTAAAAATTAAACATGGCGTCTAACCTGCCTTTTAGAAATTTTAGAGATTGGCCTGTTCACACCTTTTATTTTATGTGCATGCAACCAGATGAATGCACTTCTTTGCAGGCCGTGCTAATTACTTAGGGTGCATAGAAACTGCCCTTATGTTTGATGTTCGCCTTGTTGCACGACTGCAAGAAATTCAGCCCTTTCCTTTCTTGCAAAGACCACAGCATGGGAAGAAGGCCTTTGCAGGCATCCAGTTGGGTTCGAAAATAGCAATAAAGAATAAAAAAAGAGAAGAAGATGTGGGTGTGAGAGCAAGAAGTGGAAGGATCATCAAAAAAATAATAAATAAATAAATAAAAATTAAACATGTTTGAAACCAGATCATGGAAATATTTCATCATCTCTGCTGATACCAAGCAACTCCCTAAATGTTTGGTTGGGAGAAGCCACTGTTTTGTCTCAAGCATTAGGCCTATGTCAGGGTTCCTCAAATCTTGCCCTGGAGGGTCAATGTGCTGCAGAGTTTAGCTCCAACCCTGATCAAACTCCCCTACCTGTGATTTTCTAATGATCTTGAAGACTCTGATTAGCTTGCTCAGGTGTGTTTGATTAGGGTTAGAGCTAAACTCTGCAGGAAAGTGGATCTCGTGGGCCAGATTTGAGGATCCCTGGCCTATGTTATACCAAGGCGATAGTAAGTACAGTATGTCATTGCCTTATATGAAGGACAGTTACTGCCTTGAGTAGGCCTATGTGTCCTTTTCAATGTCTACCTGCAATTTGGCTTATTATAAATATTAGCATACCGACATGTTTATCTAATTAAACAAATTAATAATTTGTTTAATTAATGTTACTTTAGCAATTTATATCTCTGCTTCACTCACATACACTGTTCCATACCAACTTTCTGCAAAGGCTTCCTTTGGAACGGTTTTCATTGCTCATTATGAACCAACTGGCAATTTTTAAAACCTAAACTGTACAAAGCAGTGGCATCTTTGAAAACATTTTGTTTCATGGATGTACTGATATTCAGTATTTGCATGATTAGGAGTGTGATATGCTGTCTTAATTAGCTGATTGTTACATTCTAATTTTATTCATTTAAATATTATTTTATTTCATGTCACACCACAATGTTATTTGTTCATACTAATTGTTTACTCCATTGGCATTTCTTATTATTTTACTTCAATTTACGCATTTTGCAATGCTATTGGCAATACAAATATGCAGTTATGTCATGCCAATAAAGCACATTAAGCTAGAATGAATATGTCCTTATTATTCCCTAATCACGTGACGCACCCCATACCTCGTGAACTGACCTGACGTGAGGTTTGATCACAATATGAAAACTACTTTAACTGCTGGTACTGATGGATTCAACACAGAGGACACGTGAGGCGTATTTTCTTCTCTTTCTGTTCAGTTCAGTGTGACTGCGGTGTCTGTGGACCAGGTCCGGCACAATCGAGCCTGTTTTTGAGCGCATGTGAGAATGTGGCGACTGGCGTCAGTGAGTCTGCCCTGCTCCGCGTCCCCGCCCTCTGCTCAACCCCCGCGCCTCTGTGCAGCTGGACGCACACAATCAAGCCATCAACAATCGCCGTGCATAATTAGCGCGGCCCTCGACCCCTCCCGCCCTCATCACTCCCAAAGAAAATCTTTCAAGGCGTTTGTTCCCTCTTCGTCGACAAAGCCTCTCTATTGGTCTAATAGCAACAAGGGATCGCCGAGAAAAGAGCGGTGACAAAACGAACTAATAATGAACAGATTGTGTTTGACATTAGAAAAAACTAAAAGCAATGGTCAAAAAGGTTTAAGAATATGTGACCCTGGACCACAAAACCAGTCACAAGGGTCCATTTTTAAAAAATGCATATATTTATACATCACCTAATAAATAAGCTTTCCACTGATGTAGGGTTTGTTAGGATAGGACAATATTTGGCCGAGATACAACTATTTGAAAATCTGGAATCTGAGGGTGCAAAAAAAAAGAAAGAAAAATATTGACAAAATCGCCTTTAAAGCTGTCCAAATTAAGTTCTTAGCAATGCATATTACTGATTAAAATAAAGTTTTGATATATTTACGGTAGGACATTTACAAAATATCTTCATGGAACATGATCTTTACTTAATATCTGAATGATTTTTGGCATAAAGGAAAAATCGATCATTTTGACCCACAATGTATTTGTTGGCTATTGCTACAAATATACCCGTGCGACTTATGACTGCTTTTGTGGTCCAGGGTCACATATTAATATTATAATAAAACAGTATTGTTAATTATAGTAGGGCTATCAATGTGTAGCAATCTAATTAGTTGTAGTAAAAGAATAAAAATAAAATAACATCTTTTAATAGTATTTTTAATATGCCTTGCAGGGCAGCCAGACCAGATTAGTTTACATCTAAAAGTTTTGATGGAGATCTTTTGAAGTGAAACAGAAGAACATCATGGACAGTTTTTGAGCCATAAATCCAGTGCCAGAGGTTTGTGCTTCAGTTACATAACTGGTTATGTTTACATTGGTTGCATTGATCCAAAGTTAAGTAGGGCTACACAGTAGGCACTTATCCTGGGGTCAAACGCATGAGTATCATACAGCATATGCACCGACTATAAAAACAGACTGAGACAGGAGTTGGATTTAGATGACAGGAACAAGGGAAAAAGAGAAGGGATGAAAGAAGGATAAAAGAGGGCAAGACATTGTAAGAGACAGCAAGACAGAGCTCAGGGAGATAAACCCAGGCCAAAAGCCCTCTTGTCCTTACAGACAGTTTTACTGTCTGCATGTAAATTAGAGCCAGTATTTCAGCATTTCTTTCTGGGTCAATGATGCTTTGACACCACCGAGAGTTCTTTGGTCTTTCAACTTCAAAGTATGTGTACACACACATATATGCAGACGTTCACATGTTCATTTGAGATCTTTCCATGAACAGATGATGTGAAAGAGCCATTGAGAAACAAACAGCTGATTTCTTGACACATGGTCTCCCCTCCTTTTGCTGTTCTTATCCAGGTCACTGCCCCTTCCTCTCCTTCCTCAAGATGCTACATACACACACTCACACAC